TTGTAGCATTTGTCAACTTCTCTACCATAGCAGTTTCAAACTATTCACCTGCTGTGAACTAGCTCACAACATGTCTAAAACTTTGCATTTATTTCCACTCGAACACAACTGTCTCCCCACATCAACATCTTGTCTCTGTTCATTTGTAGGCTCTGGCCGGTTCCCATTTTTTAATTTCCTGAACAAAATTTTCTTCAAATTGCTTATTTAGGGATTGCCTTTGTTCACATTCTCAATGTCACTGACTTTTACCCATCATGTTCCTGTCCTATTTTAGCCAGATGCAAAAAAAGGATACTTGCAAGGGTACAGATGGTTATGTTGACTCAGGCTAGAACATAGGACCAAACCTAGTGGTACTAAGGGATCACTCCTGAATGGCTTGGGGGACTATATGGAGTGCTGGGGATTGAATACTCTTTTGGTAGGTGGTTCACCCAGCTGTTTTCAGGGCTGACTCCTGACAGCTTAAGGTTCTCTCCTACTGGCGCTCAGGGGACCATCTGGGGTTCTGGGGGGTAGAACCTGGATCAGGGGCTGAAGGATAGTACAGCAGGTAGGATGCTTGCCTTGCATGCAGCTGACCTGAGTTCCATCCCCAGCACCCTTTGTGGTACTCGAGTCTGGCCCAAAAGCCAAACACAAAACAAAACCCGGTCCCTGGCATAAGAAGTCAAGCACCATACTATACTCACTCTTCAGCCTTCAAAACGTTTTTTTCTTGTATAGCATTTGGAAGTTGTTTAAATGTTTTTTTTTTGGTCAGCTTTTGGGAGCTACATTACTGAGAATGAGAGGAAACTGAGAGTATGTATTGGGGGTCCCAGGGTCGATGGCAACAGCCCAGAGGACAGTAACCTTTTTTTCTGTCTTTTAGGACACAACTGGACCTCTGAATACTTCTTTTAAAATAAAAGTTTTATTGAGACAATTTATAATTCAGTAACTTTATTTGTACATCCTTAGCCACACAATTTTAGAACATTTCAGTGCCCCCCCCAAAGAAATCCCCCCTAAGTCTTCACCCTTCAGTCCCCCCCTCGCTCCCCCATAGCTCTACAACCACCAATCTACTTTTCTGGCTGTAAACCTATTCTGGTCACTTCATAAAAATAGAATCAGTGTTTGGTCCTCTAGGATTGGTTTCATTTATAGTATTTTCAGGGTTCATCCAATTTGAAGCGTGTACATTATTTTTATTCCTGAGTAATATCCTGTTGTATGGATATAACATATTTATTCACTGGTTGATGGCATTTGGGTTATTTCTACATGGGGCTATAATGAGAAATACTATGAACATTCATGTTCATTCTTCTGTGAACATGTTTTCAATTTTCTTGTGTCTGCATAGGGATGGTGTGATGCCTGTATTTAAATTGAGGATCTGCAAAACTTTTTTTTAAGTGACTGCATAGGAGAGAACACAACAAGCTAAGTGCACACTTGGTATGCAGGAGGTCTGGGTTCAATCCTTGACTCCATATGGTCTCATAAGTTTAGAGTCAGGAGTAGCACCTAAGCAGATGTTTTATTTGTTTGTTAGTTTGTTTTTGTTGTTTCTTGGACCACACCTGGCGATGCTCAGGAGTTACTCCTGGCTCTGCACTCAGGAATTACCCCTAGTGGTGCTCAGGGGACCATATGGGATGCTGGGAATCAAACCCGGGTCGGCCACGTGCAAGGCAAACGCCCTACCCGCTGAGCTATCTCTCCAGCCCTCACCTAAGTAGATGTAACCCCCAAACAAAAACAAATGATAAAGTTGCATTATTTGACATTCTTTGCTGGAGAGAAAAAGGGTTCTAATACCATATCCTCACCAACATTTAATTGTTTATTTTTGGGGGGGGTGGTGTGAGGTGGGAGGGAGTTTGGCCTTACGGATCACACCAGCAATGCTCAGAAGTTAATCCTGATTCTGCTCAGGAATTACTCCTGGCTGTGCTCAGGGGACCATATAGGATGCTGGGAATCAAAGCTGCATCAGCTGCCATGCAAGGCAAATGCTCTGCCCGCTGTATATCGCTGCAGCCCCACCAACATTTAATTGTTATTTGACATTTGGATATTACTCTTCCTCTATTGCCATAACAGTAGGAAACAGTCCCCACATTGTTCCAAATTAAAGTGGCACCCTTAATTTCCTGAGAATGTTGCCTTATTTACTGTTGTTATTACCAACTATGGTTTTTGGGACTACAGCCAGTAGTGCTGAGGGCTGCTCTCAGGACTCACTCCTGGGATAGTCCGTATGGTCCTAGAGCTCTTTCATACAAAGGCTGTGCCCAGCACTTTGAGCCATCTCCCATATCCTAAGTTACTGGGGTTTTGTTTTGTTTTGTTTTCAATGCCTGTGACTGGACCTAGGTCCTCACAGAAAAAGGGCAAGTATTTGCCTTGTACGCTACTAACCCGTGTTCAATTCCTCCGCCCCTCTCAGAGAGCCCGGCAAGCTGCTGAGAGTATCTCGCCCACACAGCTAAGTCTGGCAAGCTACTTGTGACGTATTCGATATGCCAAAAGCAGCAACAAGTCTCACAATTTATCATGAGATGTTACTGGTGCCCGCTTGAGCAAATCGATGAACAACGGGAGGACAGTGCTACAGTGCTACTCTACTATTGAAGTCTATCCCTGGCAATACTGCTTCATTTATTTTTACTTTACATATGCTGCTATGCTTTAAAACATGACAGTGTGGGGCTGGAGAGATAGTCCAGTGGTTAAGGCCCTTGCCTTGCACGTGGTCAACACTGGGACTGATCTCTGAGCACAGCCACAAGTAACCCTGAACAGCACTAAGTGTGGCATCAAAACAAACATGACACACCTGCCTTAGGTTTACCTAAGGCTTCATACATGCAAAGCATGCACTCTATCACTGAAGTATATCCGCAGCCAAAATCTGACAGCCTTACATTACTAAACCCTCTAAGACAACATTTCTATTGCATAGAGTGAAGCACAGGAAAATTAGACAATTAGCATTTTAACCCATGTCATCACGGCACTACCTGACTGCCAGAGAAGACCATACCACACTGGGTCAGCTGGTCCTTCAGGAAGTAGGTGAGAAAACATCCAATATCTTGATGTCTGAAATAGGATTCTAACAAGCCATGTGCTTCCGGAAACAGAACCTCCATCAGCTCTTATTTCAAATCCTGCTCTAAGGTTATAATTGCCTCTTGTTGACTGGCAGCAGGGGAGAAGTAGGTTTCGGGCCATGGGAACTGCTAAGCAGCTCAGACCACAATTGTGTGGTCTTTACTATAAAAAGCCTTTTTAATGGCAAAGCTGGCCATTTGAGGACAAAGCTGTCCCTGAGTCTTCATACTAGGGTCTTGGGTTAATTTGATGCATTTGGGGGTGGCGGGAGGAGGGAGAGGGAATCAGCCTTTCTCTCCACGACAAGGAAACATTTTAATTCTAGAAGCCAAAATAAAATATTGGAAGGCAGAGATAAGAATTTCTAAAACAAACAAAAAAATTCTAAGACTAGATCTTCAGTTTCCTTTGACTCTTGATCTGTTTAGATGGGATTTAATGACCCTTCAGCCACTCTGTTTTCTGCAGAAAGAGCCTTCTAAATCAGGGGAATTCTGTAATTCCAGTAAAGATACAGGATTCAGTGTGGGGGTTGGGAGGGGTTTCCAACAAATCAAGTCACTTGCACATCTGCTTGTCCCAGACAGATCTGCAATTCTGTACCATTGGAGTCTGGGGTCTATTCTGCAATTTTGGGTTTTGAGCCAGGCCCTTGGCATTTACTTTCATTGGCTATTTCCTCATAACTGTCCACAATTAAAGCAGTTTGATATGGGTCACTCAGCAGAAATCAAGGCTACCCCAGACCTGATTGCTCCTGGCAGTGCTTAGAGAACAGCCAGGGATCCAACTCGAGCCTCAAATATAAAGCATATATATAGCCCATGGAACAATCCAACACCTAGAAAATAATTGAGGTGGGAGGGTGGTACTTAGGGACCACACCCAGCAGTGCTCAGGAGTCATTCCTGGCAATGGTCGGGGGATCAAAACAGGGGCTACATGCAAGGCAAATGCCTTGACCCCTGTACTATCTCTCTGACTGGAAAATTATTTATTTTGTTGGGTTTTTTTTTTTAGCCACACTGGTGGTGCTCAAGGCTTACCCAGGGCTGTCTATTCAGGGGTAATTCCTGGCAGTGCTTGGGAACCATGTGTCATACCAAGTATCAAACCTGGGTTGGCTGTACACAGATAAGCACCCTGTGTGCCTCTGTACTACCTCTCTGGCCCCATCCAAAAATAATTTTTACTTTATTGATTTTTTAAAACTTTTTGGGGAGGTCATTTTGGGAGAGTCATACCTGGCAGTGCTCAGTACTTATTCCTGGCTCTGTGCTCAGGGGTCACTCTTGGTGGTGCTTGGAGGACCATATGGAGTGCTGGGGAGTGAACTCAGATCAGCCTTGTGCAAGGTAGATGCCCTACTTGCTATATTACTACTCCACCCTGGAAAGTAATTTTTTATCTCATATGTTTTAAAAAATTTACTTTTTTAGGGGTCTGGAGCGATAGTACAGCTGGTTGTGCATTTGCCTTGCACACAGTCAACCCAGGTTCAACCGCTGGCATCCCATATGGTCCCTTGAATGCCTCCAGGAGTAATTCCTGAGTGCAGAGCCAGGAGCAACCCCTGATCATCACTGGGTGTGACCCAGAAAGCACAAAAAAAAAATTACTTTTTTGGTTTGGGGGCCACACCTGGTGGTGCTCAGGGCTTACTTCTGACTCTGCTCAGGGATCATTTCTGGTGATCCTCAGGGGCAAGTATGTGGTACCAAGGATTCAAACCACTGTCTCAGTTGACGCAGCGCATGCAAGGCAAATGCTTTACTTCCTGTACTATCTCTCCAGCCCCAGTTTCAATATTTCCTACCAATGAATTCATGAAATTATTACAAGTTACTTTCCAGGGACTACTTTCGATAGATAAAAAATTCACAAGGAAAAAAATTTAAAATGATAGATTTTATTTTAATATAATGACATATGCACATAAACTATTTAAAAATAAGCATGTAAACTATAATCATTATAAAACATAAATCAGCCTTAGTATCATATGAGTAAAAGAGCACATATAGAGGTCAGTCTAACATTGTTGCCTTTTGAAGTTGGAATACATAAAATATTTAATTTACTGTATTTTATCTTATTTCAGTTTTCATGTTATCATCACTAGATATAAATATCCTTAGGAATGTGCCAACTTAACATACATTTATATAACCAAACTTGCTTAGCGGTTATTAAAGTACCATTAAATCACCTAAGATGAGTAATCTAAAAAAAATACTAGCCTAAATTAAAACCCTGAGGAATTAAAATTCTTTTGACACAATAGTTTTGGTTAAGTGCAATTTCATATTTGTTCTACTTTAAGGTCATACTTGGTAAGGCATAGTAAAAATAAAATCTACATAAATTACAGTCTAAATCTATAATCCATTTCTCGCTACAAAGTTGTTTTGTTTCCCCAAAAGTAGTTTTTGCATGTCATGTCATTCTGGACTTCTTCATCACCTGCTGGCTTATTTGTTCTCTCTACAGTAGTTAATATTTGTGCATTAAGCTGAGTTGCTTCTCGTTGGTGATTCAGACAAAATGCACCTGAAGAACTACATGTTAGAGAGTTCATGTCCATGTTCAATCATGGCCTGCACGAACTGCTTGAAGACTCGATCCATGTACGTGCATTGCCTTGGCCAGAGTCCCTCCAGAAAACCAATGTGGCCTCCATAAGAAGTAAGAACCAAAGCAACATTAGGGTTTTGCTTAGCAGTTTCTATTGGGATAGCTAGGAGAAAAATAGGAGGGAGTTAAAGAAAAGGAGGGAGACAGAAATAAATACAATTAGTACCAAATTTTTATTAAGTAGCATGCCCTTTTCATTCACAATCAATCTAGCCCAAAATATCATTAAACTCACTAATATATATATGTATAAATATTCTGTGCATGTTTGGGTCACTCTTGGTGGTACACATAGGACCATTTATGTCAGGGATTGAACCTGGGGCTCATATGTGCAAAGCATGAGCTTCAGGAGCTGGAGAGATAGAACTACAGGTAGGTTTGATCCCTGGCATCCCATATACTCATCTGAGCCCTACCAGGAGTGCAGAGTCAGGAATAAGTCCTGAGCACTATTGGATGTGGTTATAACAAAATTAAAAAAAAAAAAAAGCATGTGCTTTAGCCCTTTAAACTATCTCTCTGGCCCCAAGTGGTTGTGTGTGTGTGTGTGTGTGTGTGTGTGTGTGTGTGTGTGTGTTGGTGGCGGCGGTGGTGTTATGGGGTCAAACCCAGGGGTTCACACATGTAATGCAAAGTATTTCATTATTGAGCCATATATCTGGTTCCACCCCTGTTCTTTTAATTAGAGATCCTTCATTAAAATATATATATATATTTCAGGGTTTTGGGTCACACCCTGTAGTGTTCAGAACTTTCTCTTGGCTGTGAATTAAAAGGTCATTCCTGGTGGGGCTCAGGAGACCATATGGGGTGCAGGGGATCAAACCCCGGTTGACTCAATGCAAGGCAAGTGTCTTAAGCACTGTACTATCTCTCCAGTCCCTTATTATTTTTTTAAACCAATGTGGATGAGAGTATTTATTCTTCAGGTTTCATATGCACAATGCTGTTCTATGGTTTACTTTTCTTTTGTTGTCACACCCAGCAGTGCTTAGGCTTACTTCTGCTTCTGAGGTCAGGATTCACTCCTGGCCAGGCTTGGGGTCCTAATAGGTGCCGGGGATGTAATCTGGGTCAGCGGCAAGCAAGTGCTCTACCTGCTTTGCTATCCCTGGCCGGCCCCAACAGCAGTCTTTTTATAAGCTTTACAAAATCCTGAGTAAAACTCTATAAAGCAGTGTTCCTCAGCTGGGGTCAACTGACTTTCTGTGAGCACCCAGGATATTACAAGAGGCCACAGGTGAAAATCATAAACAAGGGAGTCATGACGAAGACTATGGGATTACTGGTATGACAGGGAGGGTGAGGAAGGGGCACAGGAAGGGAACAAGGTCTCTGAAGGCCATAGCCAGAAAAATGTTGAACACAGGTGTAAAATGTGGTTTAGAGTACAGTGAATAGAATGCTTGCCTTGCATGCAGTTTAACTTCACCGCCCCCCCATATGGTACCCCAGCCCCACCAGGAGTGATTTCTGGAGCACAGAGCCAGGAGGAAGCCCTGAGCACGGATGTGTGTGGCCCCAAAACAAAAATAAATGAATGTGGTTTCTTTCTCTAGGTTTCTTTTTTTTTTGGGGGGGGGTGGAGTGGGGGTGACACCAGAAATACTAGGGCTTACTCCTGGCTCTACAATCAGGAATCACTCCTGGCAGTGCTCGGAGGACCATATGGGTTGCCTGAGATTGAACCCAGTGTGAGGGCGAAACTGAAGCCATGACAAGCTGCAGCCAACAGTAAATTTAAACTAGGCCTCAGTTTCTGTTTCCTCAAAACAGGACTTGCAGTTTCTGGTAAACTTCCAGTTGAATAATGTGCCTAGATAAGGAATTAGGTACTTGGGTCTGGCCGGTCATAAGGGGTCACTGTACCCTCCTTAGAAACTGTTACTAACCACTGTCTAGGTAAAGGCCCTCCCGTTGATCATCGATTTGCTTGAGCGGGCCCAGTAACGTCTCCATTGGAGACTTTGTTGTTACTGTGTCTGGCATATCGAATACTCTCGGTAGCTTGCCGGGCTCTCCGAGAGGGGCGGAGGAATCGAACTCGGGTTCGGCCATGTTGGCTGCGTGCAAGGCAAACGCCCTACCCGCTGTGCTATCGCTCCAGGCAATAACCATTGTCTAATTAATGGATACCATTGTAATAGGGTCAATGCTAAAAAATAGACCAGCATATAAATTGCTTCTTAATTCTGAACCCTATATAAGCTGCTTGTGATTTGGAGCCAGGGTCCTTGTCAAGACTCCACTGCGCTGGATGAGACCTGGACCCTAGCTCGAGCTAGCAATGGCTCAGGCTAGTAATAAAGTTCCTTTGCTTTTGCATTATTGTGTGTGGACTTCGTCTCTCCGCAACTGGGGATCTGAAACTTGGGCACAACACCAAGTCAACCACACACATGCAAGTCAAGCACTCTAGCCATTGGCTTCAAATGTGATTTCTTTTATTCCAGGCTGAGAATTAAAACGGTGAAATGTTTGATTAATGTCTATTGTGGATCACACAGCCTGTCATGGGAAGAGTTTGATTTCAGAAAGTATTACATCTTGTCTCCTTGATTAAGATAACATGGTTGATTCTAATGAGAACTTCACCTACGGGGCAGAGTTACAGTGATAAATCAGCTAATTAGAGGTAAGAGCTCCTTATCCTATACCCTTCTAATCAAGGAAGCAAAACTGACACGTGACAGGGGAACTGCTGCCTGCACACACTGCCCATTTAGACGCTGCTATAAATTTGACCCCTCACAGCACTGCCTTAAGAAAAACAGACTGAACGACACTGCCCACGGTGGGCCAGGGTTTCTTTCCCATCGGGGTGCAGGAATGATCTAGGTTGGGTGGTAGTAGCCCAGGGTGTAACTGGGAAATACTTTTTTTTCTATTGGTTTAAAGAAGATACATTTGCAGGCTGTGGTGAAAACCACAGGGGACAACAAAGAACTTTTTGTTTTGGTTTGGTTTGTTTCTGTTTTTTTTGTTTTTGCTTTTGAGCCACTCCTGGCTGTGCTGAGGGTTTTGTGCTTTGGGATCACTCCTGGAATCATGCATGAAATAGGTCAGCTGTGTGCAAGGCAAGTGCCTTAACCCAGTATTATATCTCCAGCTCATGGGTTTGATTTTTTTTTTTTTGGTGGGGTGGTGGGGAATATTGGGGGTTGGAAACATACCTGGCTGAGCTCAGGGCTTTCTTCTTTTTTTTCTTTTTAAATATGGAACGCTTCACGAATTTGCGTTCATCGTTCATCCTTGTGCAGGGGTCATGCTAATCTTCTCTGTATCATTCCAATTTTAGTATATGTGCTGCCGAAGCGAGCACAGGGCTTCTTACTTCTTTTTTGTTTGCTTATTTGGGGGCCATATCCTGCAGTGCTCATCAGGGCTTACTCCTGGCTCTGCACTCAGGGATCACTGGACTTGATCTGATCTGGCAGGGCTTAAAGAACCACATGTGGTGTCAGAGACTGAACCTAGGTTGTCGACTGTGTGCATGACAGTCACACTATCTCTACCAGTTGTACTATCTCCCTCTGGCCCCTATTTTTTGTTTTTCTGGAAAGGAGTTGCTGCATAGGTCAGTAAATTTGGAACCCTATGCTCTTAGTCAAGGCCCAGAACATCGTCAAGTTCTGATTCAAAGGGGTTCTGAACTCACATCCTTAGTCAGCGCACGACACCTAAAAATGAACATCTATCTTGGGATCGGGTGTGAGAGCTGAAGTGGAAGAAGGGGAAAATGACTGATACTATTTTTTGCTTTTCCATCGCACATTAAGATGTAGAGTGCTTCATGGGCCTCTAATGGATTATTAAGAACTCCAACTTCACAGTCTGAATACATGCAGGAATTTCTAACACTCAGAATTGCAGTCATATCAGAACAAAAGGCTGTACCACATTTGAGTCATGTGAAAGATGTTGGCTGCCTGATTCTCAGAACGCAGACAATTGTCCACTATATTAAAGTGAAAAGACTATTTTAAGGGTTTGTAAAAGAATAGAAAGTAATGAAATAGGTCAGATTGAACTGTGGAAAAACGTCAGTGAGATGGGGCCTAAGAAATAATACAGAAGAGAAGACACTTGCTTTGCACAAAGCTGACCCAATTTGTTCCTGAGCATTCTACATGATCCCCCAAGCCACCAGGAATGATCCCTGAGCACACAGCTAGGAGAAACTATGAGCACTGCTGAGTGTGCCCTACCCATCAAAAAATATTGTGAGTGAGAAAGGTCAGCAAAATAGTTCCTTAATCCAGTAAAAACGAGTTACACAAATTGCCATGTAATTCATCCAATACCAAAGTTCACTGTGTCATTTTCTGATCTGTGGTCAAAGGCCAAAAGTTTCAGTCATTTAAAGTTACGTGTACTGGGGCTGAAGGGATAGTACAATGGGGAGGGCATTTGACTTGCACACGGCCAAGCTGGGTTTGATTCCCAGCATCCCATATGGTCCCCTGAGCACTGCCAGGAGTAATTCCTGAGTGCAAAGCCAAGATAACCCCAGTGTATCACCAGGTGTGACCCCCCCCCCAAAAAAAAGTTACTTTGTTGAAGGGGCTGGAGTGATAGCATAGTGGGTAGGGCATTTGCCTTGCATGCAGCCCACCCGGGTTCAATTCCTCCATCCCTCTCAGAGATGAGGATACTATCTCTAGGATACTACTAAGAGTATCCTGCCTGCATGGCATAGCCTGGCAAGCTCCCTGTGGCATATTTGATATGCCAAAAACAGTAACAAGTCGTAACCCCTGTGTATCACTGAGTGTGACCCAAAAAAGCAAAACAAAACAAAACAAAACAAAAAACCAGTAACAAGTCTCACAATGGAGATGTTACTGGTGCCTGCTGGAGCAAATCGATGAACAACGGTAGGACAGTGCTATAGTGTAGGCTAATTTGTTGAAAAATATACACAAAGGTAGGAATTTTACCATGACTAGGTGAGAAAACGTCATCCACGGAATTCAGACACAACACTGGAATGCCTACTGATTTGAGTCTACGATTTGGACTGGCATCAGTATAATAGTCATCAATTGTTCGATATCCAAACAAGATCGAAGTGAATCGCTTATCAAACTCTCTGATGGACTTAGCCTGAAAAACAGAACATATTGTATCTATCCTAGAGATTCAAAGAAGAAATAACATTATTATATAAATCTTCCTCCTACCTTCATAACATGATCCATGTCAATTTGTTTCACAAACATATGCCTGTGCCTAGAACAAGAGAATTTCAGAAGTAAAAAATTGAGGTAATTCCCATCTTTAGCATACCTAAACTCTAATTAGAAAGAACCAAATAGAAGAGTTTAGGAAAAAAAGTTGGTAATAAAAAAAATTACTGAATCAGATACAGGAGTATATTGATAGTTGTTTAGAACACTTTTCAAATTATTGTACTTTTCACTTTTTTGAGGTGCTGGGGGTTGAACTCAGGATCTCACACATCCAAAGCAAGTGCCCTCTGTTGATCTGTATCACTGACCTCAGTACACTTTCTTTTTCTTTTTTTGCTTTTTGGGTCTTTCTTTGATGAGGATCAAACATGGGTCAGCACGTGAAAGGCAGATTCCCTGCCTGTTGTATATTTTTCATGAATACTTAAAAGCTCCAGCCCCACATTTTTTCTTAATTGATAAAGAATGAATCAGTTTTTTGTATTAAGTACAAGTTGTTACATAATAAACTACCTATAACCTATTGTTCCTAAATCAATTTTGCCAAAATGATCTTCCTGAAGCTAGGAGTTTAAATTTTTATATTTTAATTTATTTATCTTGGTTTTAGAGCAAGCAGTGCTCAGAGCTTACACGTAGGGCCCTGGGAACCATATGGGATGTCAGATGTCAGCTGCGTGCAAACCAAGAGCCCACCTGCTGTACCGACTCTGTGGCCTCTGAAGACTAAAGGTTTTTTATTTTGTTTTTGGGCCACATCTGGCAGTGCTCAGTAATTACTTTATATACTTAGAAATTAGTCCTGCCTGTCCTTTAAGTGCTGGGGATCAAACCTGTAAGGCTAGTGCCCTACGCTCTGGGCTATCACTCTGGCCTCTCTCCTAAATTTCTAAATAACAACATGTTCATAAGCAAGAGTCTGAGAAACCACATACTTTAGCACTGATGTCACTTAATATATTGTTTTTACTGAGGACAGAATTAGAGACTGGTGCGCTTAAGTAACAAGTAGCACATCTACAGAAATAGCTTAAGGTTCAACATAGTCAATGTATGCTTTGTCTTATATTTTTAGCCTTTTGGAATAATTTGGAACAATGTCAGAACAGTTATTTTCAAAATGGAGGTATGTTCTTAGGAGCTGGACAGAAAGTTCACTGGCATAGAGAAAATAAACATCACAGGTTTTACCTATATTTTTTCATGAATACTTAAGAGCTTCTTTTGATATACTTACAAGATAAAAACATTTTCATACAGTAGTTAATGTCCGAATAAATATTTTTATATTAATAGTGAGATACCTTGAATCTTTTTTATACTGGAGGCATGTAATCCAAAATGTTTGGAGATACCAGGGTTAAAAGACTCACTTATTGACTGAAGACTGGAGGCAGGTTGTCAGATAATAATTAAAAAGCAGCCAGTTCAGTGGTTTTTCCAATGACTCTGAGCAAGCAAAAGTATTCCAGCCAACTGAGAAAGTGGCAGCAGCCTTCAAAGGAGTTTTGGACCCAATCTTCCCCAGGTAATTTAACAGCAGCATTCTAAAATGAAGAGAAATAAGAGACGTAATGATTAATTTGCTCAAACTCTCAGGATATACTATTTCTAATTATGAACACCATGTTAACTATGAAGAAGGAAAATACAAATCAGGTCTGGGGAGATGATTCACGGGGAATGCGAGAGACCAGGGTTTGACCCCTGGCTCTGCATGGTTCGCTGAGCATCAATCGGAGTGACCCCTTAGCAGTGAGCTGGGAGTAGCCCCTATGAACCACCATTTGTGGCACCAAAACAAAAGCCAACAATAAAGCAGTGGTTCAGCAGTTTATTCTATTGTGAGGGACAAATCATTTATGTATTAGTCACATGTGTGTCCTACAAATAAAATGAGAGAGAAATCAACCATGAGTGTTCCGCTTGTTTTTTTCCCCAAAATAATACAGGCGATTTACTAAAAATGAAAATTCCTGGACCCCAGACACAAGTTGAGTGTTTAATACTAAAAACCAACTTCATGACTGCAGTATAAATGCGGATGCAGATAGTAACAAATGAGCAGATGTGGATGTGGCTCAATAAAACACTGTACGCAGGGGCTGAGAGACAGTGCAGGCTTGCCTTACGCAGAGCTACCCAGGTTAAAGCCGTGGTACCCCATATGGTTCCCTGAGTCCTGCCAGAAGAGATCCCTGAGCACCAGAGGGTTGGGACTTAAAGCAAATAAAACATCAAATGCAGTTTTTGAAATATAAATTTTATATAATCTTTATGGGCTGGAGCGATACCATAGCGGGTAGTGTGTTTTCCTTGCACGTGGCCAACCTGGGTTCGACTCCTCCATCCCTCTAGAAGAGCCCGGCAAGCTACCGAGAGTATCTCACCCACACGACAAACCTGGCAAGCTACCCATGACATATTTGATATGCCAAAAACTGTAACAACAAGTCTCACAATGGAGACGTTACTGGTGCCCGCTCGAGAAAACTGATGAACAACGGGAGGGCAGGACAGTGCTATAACCTTCGTGTCATGAAATACTATTTTCCTATTGTGATGTCCACACCACGCAGTGCTCAGGGTCCTAGTAATTCCACCTGGTGCTTGGGGTCACATCTGCCAAAGTTCCAACCCAGGACTTTGCTCATGCCAGGCATGTGTTCTGCTTCTTGATGAACAGATACCCAGTCCAGGGTCTTTCCTCAGCTGGAGCGATAGCACAGCGGGTAGGGCGTTCGCCTTACAAGCGGCCAACATGGCCGACCCGAGTTCGATTCCTCCGCCCCTCTCGGAGAGCCTGGCAAGCTACCGAGAGTATTCGATATGCCAGACACAGTAACAACAAGGTCTCCAATGGAGACGTTACTGGGCCCACTCGAGCAAATCGACGATCAACGGGAGGGCCTTTACCTTTGGGGCTGGAGCGATAGCACAGCGGGTAGGGCGTTTGCCTTGCACGCAGCCAACATGGCCGACCCGAGTTCGATTCCTCTGCCCCTCTCAGAGAGCCCGGCAAGCTACCAAGAGTATCTCGCCCGCACGGCAGAGCCTGGCAAGCTCCCCGTGACGTATTCGATATGCCAGACACAGTAACAACAAAGTCTCCAATGGAGACGTTACTGGGCCCGCTTGAGCAAAAACAGTAGTGTACAATGATCATTCTTAACCCTTAGACTCTTCTGAATAACCAGATGGTTTACTCCTACCTCTGCACTAAGGAATTAGCCCTGAGAGTATTCAGGGGATCATATGGAACACTAGGATTGAACCCAAGTTGGCCCCATGTAAGGCAAACACAGTACCCGCTGTACAATTAATTGCTCAACTCTCTGTGAGCCGTTATTTGCCAACTCTTGGTGTTGCTGAAAGAGCATAAATGGAGTGGCTTTCAAGTGTGGATGCACACTGGAATCTCCTGGGGGGGTTTTAAAAGCTACTGGAATATCTTCCCACTAGAGACTCAGTAATTGGTCTGGGTGGCCAGTCTAGTGACCTGGGCTCCCTCACAGCAAATCTCTATAGGGCACCCTAGTCTAAAGTTAGACTTTCTCTAGCCAAACAACTGGCCCCTAAAGAAATGTGTTTTCTCTCCCTGCTCCTTACAATTTTTCAGCCTTCTTTCTAACAACCTATTTTCCTCTTTTCCTTCAGTTCTATCAATTTTTCTGATTTTATCCTAGTTTTAATTTTGCAAGAGGGACAAGAATAAAGTATAATTTAATAACAATGCCAGAAATCTAAATTTGTTTATTTTGGGATCTTATGTGGCAATGCTCAGGGGCTATTCCTGGCTCTATGCTCAGGGGACCATACGGTGTTGGGGCTTGACCCCGGACCTTCTGCATGCAAAGTACACACTCAGCCCACTGAGCTCTCTCTTTGGCTCAGAACACTACCATACAAGACAAGGGATGACATATACTCTAAATTCTGTTTATAATTACATTTTAGTTCTCTAATTGCATAGGTTCTGAAGCAAAGTTAATACATTAAAATGATCTTTTATTTTCTTCAACCCCAAAAGACTTGCAGGGTGAATTTGATTTTTTTTTAGAGGAAAAGTGGAGATTGTTTGAAAACAAGTCTGCACAGTGGTTTATAGATTTAGCACTACGTTTCAGCTTGGGGCTACACCTGGTGGGGCATAGGGACCATATGGAGTGCCAGAGACTGAACCTTGGCTGGCTAAGTGCCAAGCAAGTGCTTTACCTGCTGTACTCAGGCAAGGCTATTCCTTTACTTGGATTTTCTCCCCTTTATATGTCAAAAGTTTGCTTACTATTTCATCAAATGGCTGGAAGTTGACATGGCTTGGGTTCCTTGGCTAGACTCAGTTCTGGCTCAGACACCCAACCTGGTCCCAGGCCTCATGGTTTGGGAAATACCCCAGTCTACTGGCAGCGAGCAGAGGATCTTCAGTATTCTATGCTTTCCTGTTGCGTTCCCCCAACCCCACAAAAGTGTCAAGCTCTAAAACACATCCCCAAGTGGTAAAGCCACTTGGGAACCCTCAGAGTGCTAGGCAACTAGAAAGGGTGCTTCCCTTTAACAATTTACAAGACATTAATATTCAGCCAGCTGCAAAGGCCAACGGTCAAGTTCTGCCTCCAGGCACTGAGACTTCAATGCCACATGAATAGGCATTGGCCAGGAGCTTCAGAATAGAGAATCTGGGCCTGTTTATGTAAGATCTTGGCTTTAAAAAGTCAAGATTTTATATGATTAAGGGAAAAAGTCTAGCTGGCACCCTCCTCTGTGGCTCACTTCATGGAGAAAAAGAAAAAAGAAGGGAAAGACTGTCCATTAAGCATAATTCAGAGATTTGGCCTTGGCTTTCCTGAGCTGATTCAGATTTCTTCCTTTAGTAGGTCAAGTCAGACCTTCCATGCTAATGTAAGATACTAGTCTTCTTACTTTTTATCAGGATCTAAAAAGCAGTGGTTAAAATCTATTTTTCAGAATCCATCATTTGTAAAAATGGTTCAAATAAATAAGTTTCAACAATGTATTGAAAATCAAAATAACAGATAAGCCAATTAAAAAATTAAGAAATCATTTCTTATCTCATGTATAAGCTGATTTGAAAAGTTGTTTTGAACAAATGATTTAGGGAATCTATTCCTAGTAAAATTCCAAATAATTAAAAAATTAGATTTTATTAAGCTCACTATCTCCAGAACAAAAATATAAATAATTTTAGTAGAGAGGAATTTAAATATAACACGGCAAATAAAAATGTCAAATAAGTCCAAGGTAATTGCGAACAATGCAATATCGAAGCCAAGAGCTATGAAATCAACTTCTAGGGCTTCGACAAGCCTTCAGGCTCATAAAACTCAGAGTCACCCCCAAACAGTACTTGCATCCTTTTAACCAGAAAGGTTAAAAATCAAGGAAAATATTAAAATCCACCTGAATTAACTCTGCCTGCCCTTCAGCCACATGTGCTCAAAATCACTCAAATGAATCATTTATTGCAAATGTCTGTGAAGCTTTCAGTCCTCTGCAAGAGGCCTGGGCAAAACCACTTACTTCTCTTTGAGAAGGTTTAGGAAAGAGAGGCCTTACCCGCCCATTGAAACCCCTGCTGCGAGAAAGGGGGCGGCTGGGTACAGACTGTGGACGTGGTGAATGACTGTCTCCAAGTCTTCAGTGTTAGCACAACAGTAAGTTCTTGGCGTCTGTAAGCAGAGACAGGTAAAGCACAAAAATTAAAACTGTGAGTTTAATTATTTAAATGATGCAAAAACATTTTTACAAAGAGAGCAGGAAGCCATGAATATGAGAAAATAACCTTTGCACATATAATTAGTAATAGTAGTTTATTGTTTTCATATTTTCAATACATACAGATGTCATTTAAAGTCAACACTATTCTATCTTCGATGTGGGCAGTAAAATTCTGGTCTTTCAAGATCAGAAATGGGGCAAGCACAATACAAATATCTTAAATTAAACAGATACAGAGTAGAGGTGAGAGCAATAGTACAGTAGGTAGGGCACTGCCTTGCAAGCAGCTGATCTGGGGTCAATCTTGGATAACCCCAGTACTATCTCTACCATCCTCCAATAATTTTTTTTTTTTTGTTACACTTGGCGATGCTCAGGCCTTACTCCTGGCTGTGTGCTCAGGAATTACTTCTGGCAGTATTCGGGGAACCATATGAGATGCAGGGGGTAAAACTTGGATTGGCCACACGCAAGGTAAGAGCCTGACTCACTGTACTTTCTCCAGCTCCATCCACTGAAATTCTTTATTAGAAACAAAACTAAACAAAAACAGGGACAGGGAAATGTTTTGAAGGGCTGAAGCTGGGCCGGAATTCCATATTATCCTCCAAGCACCACCAGAAGTAATTCCTTAGTCAAGCCAGGAGCAACCCCTGAGCATCACCAGATGTGGCCCAAACCCCTCAGGTCCTCTCCACTAAAAACATAGCTATAGCCCATCAATTTATTACTTAAAGTATTTTCTTTTACAATAACATATTCATAAACACCCAGCTGTGCTACACTGTAAAACACTTAAAATATTAAAATATGCAAAGCTGATTATGCCTCAGTACATTATGCATTAAAACAAGTGGCTTGTGTGTAAATCTCATCAATAAAGCCTCTGTTTCTAGCAGAAAAACTTCTCAGATTCTTTATTTGATGTGGGAGGAGAGAGCAATCCACTCAGCAGAATATGTGTGAGTGTGTATAAGAGAGAAAGATACAGGGGCTTAAGCAATAGTATAGCGGGTAGGGCGTTTGCCTTGCACGCAGCCAAGCCGGGTTCGATTCCTAGCATCCCATTCCTAGCATCCCTTGAGCACTGCCAGGGGTAATTCCTGAGCGTAGAGGCAGGAGTAACCCCTGTGCATTGCCGGGTATGACCCAAAAAGCAAAAAAAAAGAGAGAAAGATACACATGGGGTTTAAAAAACATAGGAATTTAGCCTTGCAGGTGAAACTGAGACTGAGAAAAAAAAATTTTATTAAAAAATTTTTTAAAAAAAATTAAAAAGGGCGAGGCAGTACAGCCTACGATGTTAGTCTTGAATATGGCTAACCCACATTTGATCCTTAACACCACATACTTTTTATCAGGTCCCCTTAGTCCTGCCAGGAGTGATTCCTGAATGCAGAGCTAGGAGTAAGCCCTCAGTATTTCTAGGTGTATCCCAGAAACCCCCCAATATTTTTTTTAAAGAATAAAAAATGAAAGTTTGGGGGCCAGGGTAACTCAGTGGGCAGTGCCTGCAAGAAACACGACCTTGAGTTTCACCTCCAGCACTTTCCAATACAAACATCCCAATTAAGTATGTACAGACCCTTCCCCCTACCACACACTGCACAATGTCAGCAAAGGGGAAAATAAACAAAATATACATAAAAACCCTCAGGAATTTAGTAATGAGAAGAATTTAGTAATGAGAAGAATTTCTCTCTAAAGGGCAATTGTCACCTGGTAACATGAATATAATAAAAGCTCTGAAACCTGGTACTGCATAGGCCAATAGGCTGGAATAATTTGCATGTAGTAGACCTGGGCTCAATTAAAGGCCACCCGTGATTTGTACTAATAAATTTTAATACCTCAGCATCCGTGTTCACAATAGAAAGGTATGTGTCACCAACACTCAACCACTAAAAAGTAGTCTGAGGAAAATTACAATCTTCAATGATCTCTTCAATTAGGTTCAAACCTAAAGCTATCTAGTGCTTGCTATTATCTCTCTGAAGTCTACATATATGAATCTCTCTAAAGGGCAATTGTCACCTGATAATATTTGGAATGGCTAATAATTTACTGAATAATTAGGGGCCAGAGAGATAGTTCAGCAGCTAGGACACTTGACTTGCACGCAACCAACCTGGCTTCGGCTGCTGGCTTCCCATACTGTCCTGTAAGCACTGCCAGGAGTAATTTCTAAGTGCAAGCCAAAAGTAGCCTCTGAGCATCGCCAGATGTGGCCCAAAAATCAAAAACAAAAAAAATTTACTGAATAATTAAAAATGTCACAAAACCCTGAGGGAGAATCTGTCATTCTACTTTATAAATGAGGAAGTTGAATTTATAGGTATATTAATAATACCTATAATACTTCCATAGTTAGTGACTAAGCTGAAATGTTTTAAAAAACACTTTGTGATGGAACTGCATTTGAGGGGGCACATATACAACATAAACTGTAAATGAAACAATGTCGATTACATGTTCACTCAGAGTAAGTGACTACAGAATTTGTCATCCTGGGGCTGGAGAGATAGTTGGTAAGGTACTTGCCTTGCACACAGTGACCCTGGCTCGAACCCCCAACATTACACATAGGGTCTCCTGAGAACTATCAGGAGTGATTCCTGAACACAGTGAAGTGCCCCTCAAACTCCAGAATTTGTCATCCTCATTCATTTTATTCACAAATGAGTCTTTTCAATACTACATAGCTTTAACATTTCTGAATTATTTATGAATAGTCACCAACGTTTACTCTTCTGTAGACTTGAATTGTGTGTTCATTGAAATATACAGACACACACATTCCCATGTACACACACAGTAATGGTATGGGGGAAAAGCCCATTAGGATCAGAAAAGCTTAGTGTCAGGATCATAACTTATGTTTAGTTCCTTATTAAGGGTCTTGAGGCTCAGCAGGGTTGAAGGGTTGAGTAATTTTCCAAGGGTCACAAAGTCCCAAGGCTGGATTGCATGTTTGTTGTAAAGAATTCAATTTTTTTCCTTTGGCTCTGGGCCATACTGGCAGTGTTCTGGGTTTAATCCTAGCTCTGCATTCAGGAATCACTCAAAGGACCATATGGGATGCTGGGAATGAAACCCAGGGCACCTTCATACAAGGCAAGCATCTCTCCGGCCTATGAACTAATTCTTTATTGCGGGTTCAGGAACATACCCAGCAGTGTTATTCTCAGATCTGTAATCAGGGGTCATCGTGGCAGTGATTGGGAAACTGAGAAGCACCAGAACTTGGGACTGACCAGGGTCAACTGTGTGCAAGGCAAGAGTTTTCCTCACTGTACTATCTCCCCAGTGAACTAATTTTTGTAAGACACTTGAAAATATTAGGGTTCTATAAGATAAGTAAATCAATATCTGGTACCCTGTGATAAAGAAGTGGACTTAAATTTTTCATTTTTTTCTAAATCATATTGAGGTTGATAATGCTGCTATGATTCAAAGTTACCAGAACTCTAAAACTCAGAAAAGTCAGAACCTTTCTAGTATGATCTACCTCTACCACCTGGCTTCCATGATGGCTTTACCTAGTTCTCCTTTCTCTGGGCTTCCATCCCCTGCCATGTTCCTATCATTCTTTCCCCAACCCCAAACGGGGGTATTCATTTCCAGAAGTTTGTCTTTGCCTTGCAACTGCTCATTCTCTGACCAAAACTCAATTGCTGATTGTCTGATCTTTCTCCAGTTTCATTAACTGTATGCAATGACTAAGACTAAATCTTCGTGGTCTTACCTTCATTTTGAGCTACAGATTCAAACTTCCAAGTTCTAGTGTGCTTTCAGAACTTTGAACTCAAAGCGCCCCATAGTGACCCCCTCCCTTTTTCTTCTTCTTTTCATGAAAATAGTATCTCTCCTAACTTGTCCTCTTCTACAAACAACATCTCGACTTTCCTAGTCAAAGTTGTGACTGATTTCTTCACCTTAAGCTTTCTGGGTATCTTTTTCTGGAAAAACACAGGTGATCCCTTCTTTTCTCTGTAGTGAAGGTATATCAATAATCTCTCAGAAGGGCTCCTTTGACAAAAGTATGATGGCAAGCAGTTCACTGGGAGGGTGAAACCAAGAAGCCCAGTAAGGGACTGAGAAAAGTAGACGGTCAATACAGATTGTTACTAAGCAGTTTATGACTCTGATTCAATCCCTTTGTTGGACTTTGAGACTGTGTTGAACATACGTGTACATTACCCCAACCAGGGGCCAAAGAAGTGCTCAAAGGGCTGCCACGTTAACACTAAGCTGGAAATGACTCCTAGTGCTTAGGGCAGTGCTTGCCCAGTGTTACCCCACCCCCCAAGGCAAAAAAAAAAAACCCACCCAAAACAAATGGGGCTGGAGAGAGAGTACAGTGGGGAGGGTGCTAGTCTTGCACATGGCCAACCCAGGTTTGATCCCTGGTATCCCATAGGGTCCCCCAAGCACTGCCAGGAATAATTCCTGAGTGCAGAGTCAGAAGTAAGCCCTGATTGACACCCCCACCCCCATAAAGCCAAAACTAAAAACAAAACAAAATAATCCCAGCCTAGTGAAAGCAGCTGGGTTATTTACCCACCAATCATTGGTAGAAAGCTGTTTCTGGAGGATAACTCCCTGGTACAGACCCAGAAGAACCCAGGGGCAAGAGAAGCCTTCCAAGACAAAGATATACAAGTTACTGGCAGAGGAAAGCACAGAAATGAGTGCCAGTGGGGTAAGATGTAAGGTGGTGAGGGTCTGCAGCCACCTCTGCTATCAGGTTGTGCACCTCTCACCTGGATTGCTGCAAATAAGCTCTTAATTGGCATATGCCCAGCTTTTCTTAATTGTACACCCCTTTTACTTCTCTTCAGACTTCTCTTCCAAAGGAATACTATCAGTTTTCATCACAACAGGCTTTCTGCTCAAAATTCTGCACTAGCTTTCTGTTGCTGAATTCCTACTGAATTAAGCACAAATTCTT